TCCATGGAAATATCTTTTCACATTCACCACTAATATAAAGATTGTGTTTTATTTGACAAGTGTAAATTTCAAGAGGAGACTTAAGAGAAAATATCAAAACAAACAAAATGATTAGATAAAAATGAAGTATTCACCTTTCAACAATCAAATCAGATAAGAAAATACTATGGGGTTTCATGAGTTCTTAATATTTGCTACACTGATGCGGAAGATAAAAGTCAAATTATGAAGCACTTGGTAGCATGTATATATTTTCTGACCTTTAAGCTTTTTCAATATATTGTTTCTATGATCTTTAATGTGATTAATGCTATATTTTCAATCTCATTCAACTATGAATATTTCACATTCTACTGAGGAAGCACAAAAAAGATATCAACATGAAGCATATTTTGAAGCTAAAGCAATTTTCTTATTCTGTTTTGAGATTTTGCTACAACATTTTTACTCTAAATGTTAGCAGAAATAAACTTTTTTCAGTCAATTTAATGCTTGTGAGAGGTTGTGGGTAATCACACCATCTTTTTTAATCATTAATTTGCAGTACAGGTGCCCATCTCATCTTATTCAAAGTAGAGTTACCAACTTTCTACTCACACAAAACCAATCATCCTTGCCCCCACCCCATTCCCTGCCCCTACCCTGAAGCTCCATCCCCTGCTCACTTCATCTGCCTTCCTTCACTTGCTTGCTGTCTCCATGCGTACTCACTTGCTCATTTTCACTGGACTAGCTCAAAGGGTTGCAGTGTGGATGGGGGTGGGGGCTCTAGCTGGAGAATGACAGCTCTAGTGTGGGGCCACAAATTAGGAGCTCAGGGTACAGGAGGGGGCTCCAGGCTGAGGAAATGGGTTTGGATGCAAAGTGGGGGGAGGGCTCAAGGGGGAGGGCTCCAGCTGGGGATGTGGGATCTAGGGTGGGGCAAGGAATGAGGAGTTTGGAGTGCAAGGGGAGACTCCAGGCTAGGGGGAATCCAAGGGATTCAGAGTATGGGAGGAGACTCTAGGCTGAGGTAGGATGGTGGGATGTGGGAGGGGGTACAGGCTCTAGGCTGGGGGCATGGGTGGGACCAGAAATGAGGGGTGCAGAAAGGGCATCCAGGTTGGGGCAGGGGGATGGGTGTAAGGTGTGTGTGTGTGAGGGCTTTGGCTGGGGTGAAGACTCTGGGATATGACTGGGGATGAGGGGTGTGTAGGAGGATACTCTGGGACCAAGTGATTTGGAGGATAGGAGGGGGATCAAGGCTGGGGTATGAGGGATGAAAGTTTTCACTAGAGGTGCATGTTCACGGGATGAGAGGTTTGGGGTGCAGGAGAAGGCTCCAGAGTGGGATTGAGGAGTTAGGAGGGGATTAGAGCTGGGGTAGAGCTGGCATATGAGGGGTGGGGGTGCAGACCCCAGGCACCACTTACCTCAAGCAGCTCTTGGAAACACCAGAATGTCCCGTTTCTAGCTCCTATGTGGAGGTGTGGCTTTGCACACTGCCCTGTTCAGGGGCACTGCCCCTGCAGCTCCATTCACTGTGTTTCCCAGCCAATGAGAGTAGTAAAGCTTCACTTGGGGCAGGGCAGCATTTGGGCTACATAGGAGCCAGAGAATGGACACAGTGCTGCTCACAGGAGCTTCACAGAGCCCGCCTTAGCTCTGCTGCAATGTCAAGTGGACTTTTAATGGCTTGGTCGAACACTAAACACCTGACAGCCCTAACAGAAAGTGATCAGTTGCATTCACATTATTCCAGGGATGGAAAATAACACAAAGGCAGTTCCCCAGTTAGACCCTGGTGAGCTACCAGCACTTTATTTACCTGCTTCTCCGTTCGTACGGCCACTTGAAGCTCCTGTTGGCTGCAGATCGCTGTTCCTGGCCAATGAGAGCAGGAAGTGGTGTCTTGGTCTGAATTATTTATCATCTTGAAGCTGTTTCCTATTTTTTACCTAAACAAAGTCAGTCAAGTATAAATCTTAGATGTGGGTGTGAAAAGTCTATATTCCCTTTAACAAATTCACATCTGGGCAGAGCTAGTGCAGTTATTTGTCATCTGAGTTAGACAAAGTGAGTATAATGGAAGAGAATCCAGGCCCAGATTATCCACTGCTTTGAACCTTCTGTGGTCATTTATATCTGTGCGAAGTGGATGTAAAATGCAAATATTATATGAGAAACATTTTGTTGCGCCAAGTTTTTGCATTCAATTTTGCACTTGATTTGCACAGGTGTAAATGACTAGATACAGTATAAAACAGTACAGAAATGGCATCTGAAGTTCTGTGATTCTTTACTGACCTTATTAATTATTATATTTTAAACATAGAGGAGATTTGTATAATAATCTTGCTCAACTCTTTCCTTTCTTATACTTATGCACCAACTGGTTGTCACCCTCTATAGGTAGCTATATGATAATGGTGGTCAACATATAATCTACAGTTTTGTGATTATTTGAGGAGAAAGATCCTATGGGCCAAATGCTAAAGGCCTTACTCAAAATTTGGGCATATTATATTATGTATGGAAAATATTTTTATTAGAGTTGAGCCATCAAAAACTCAGTAAT